GCGCAGCACATATTGACAAGTGGACACACAGCTGATCTAGGCAAAGTAAAGATATTAGATAAAGAAAAAAGGAGAAAACCAGACTAACGCTAGAAAGCCTGCGAATTTTACAAAACAGAGACAAAACTATGAACAAGAAAGAAGACACAGACGATATTGCGGCGGCGTACCAATTATGTGTGTAACAGGCAATCAGTATGACGAGTGTACCACACCAGGATGGTATCAAAGCAACTAGCTCTTAAGTTCAGTGTGCCCAGATAAATGTATCGTGATAATAGTTAATAAGTGTTTATGTACATGTATGTAAACTTCGAAGTTGTCAAATCTTATGCTTTTGATTATAGTTTGTGAAATGTTATCATATAACGTCAATGTTTTAATACGTTTTGTTTATTTTAATTTTTCTTGTTTCTTTTGTTGATGTTTTTAATAAAGAAATCGCCCCTGAGGAAGCTAAGAAAGTTAGCGAAACGTCGGGCTGTAATGTGAAGAAAGCTTTTTCTTGCACTCAACAATATTAGGTCAATTAGCCTAGAATCCAAAAGTTTAAGTAATATTTTACCTTTTTCTTCTAACCAAAATATTAAATAAATATGCGATTCCAAATAGATGGCAACCTTATTAACAATAGTTTAGGGATCTTTAAAATACCTTCCATTTGATACCCATATTATGTTTTAATTAATTTGTAACTAATTTCGAATAGGTGGCAACCTTATACGAGTCTTCTCGAAGATATTGCCTACGCAGATAACCTTAAAATCCAAAACATTATCTGTGTACAAAATTTCATCAAAATCCCTAGAGCCGTTTTCGAGAACCGTATGGATATACATATATACAAGAATTGCTCATTTAATGTAATAAGATACGCGTGCACTTAGTTGTGCACATTTTTAGTGGTAATCAAAGAAAGTTACCAAATTGCCAAATACCTCTTCTTTTTCTCTTTTGGCGCTGTAACCGCCTAAGCGATTTTGACCGAGTTCAGCACGCCAGTCGTTTCTCTTCTGTGCCAACTGACGCCAATTGGAAACGCCAAGTGAAGCCAAGTCCTTCTCCACCTGATCTTTCCATCGCAGTAGGGGCTCCTCCTTCCTCTGCTACCACCAGCGGGTTCCGAGTTGAATACTTTCAGAGCTGGAACGTCGGTGTTCATTCGAACGACATGGTCAACCCAGCGGAGCCGCTGTATTTTAATTCGCTGCACTATGTCCATGTCGTTGTAAAGCTCATACAGCTCATCCTTCCATCGTCTGCGGTACTCGCCGTCGCCAACGCGAAAAGGCCCGTAAATCTTCCGCAAAATCTTTCTCTCGAACAATCCAAGAGCCGCCTCATCGGATGTTGTCATTGTCCATACTTCTGCGCCATATACCAGCACGGGCATGATGAGTGACTTATAGAGCGTGGTTTTCGTACGTCGAGAGGACTTTACTCCTGAATTGCCTACTCAGTCCAAAGTAGCACGTGTTGGCAAGAGTGATTCTGCGTTAGATTTCAATGCTGACATTATTATCGGTGTTAATGCTGGTTCCCAAGTAAACGAAATTCTCTACTTTCTCGAAATTGTAACTGTCAACAGAGACGTGGGAGCCAAGGGGCGAATGTGCTGACTGTTTGTTTGATGACAGGAGATACTTCGTCTTGTCCTCGTTTACCACCAAACCCATTCGCTTTGCTTCCTTATTCAACTTGGAAAATGCAGAACAGACGTCGCGGTTTTTAATACCGATGATATCGATCATCGACTGCGGGCTCGATCTCCACAACTTTCCGAGCTGCTACCTTTTTGGTAGGGCGGAAAAGTTTTCCCTCCATAACTTAAGTACGCTCTGGACATCGGTTACTAGGTCGCCATTGTTGTTCTTACAGGAGTACGTCCTGGTCTCGAAACCTTCCGTAAGTCGCCTAACTATCTGGTAAAACTTTCGGGCATTCTTCCTGTCGGCCAGCATTTTCAGCTCTTCGCACTCACGTATTTCGGCCTCTCTCTTCTTATTGCGGCAAATACGTATCGCTTCCCTCTTCAGATCCCTATAGCGGTCGCACATAGCGCGCGCTGCGCCCGATCGTAGCGTGGCCCTGTAGGCGACATCTTTTTTCTCTGCAGCTTCCTGACATCCCTCATCGTACCAGTTGTTCTTTCGGGCTCGCTGAAATCTGACTACTTCTTCGGCGGCGGTACTTAATCAGCCTGAAATGTGGTTCCACTACTCGCATATGTCGGTTTGTTGAAGAGTCGAGTAGCGAAAGCGCTGGCTGTCTGTTGTGATTGCAGCTTTTCGAAGTTAACCTTTCCTTGCATATTTGGGCGCACATTTTTTGCTGCACAGAGGCGGGTGCGTATCTTGGCTGCAACAAGATAGTGGTCCGAGTCGATGTTTGGGCCTCGGAGTGTGCGTAAGTCGATCAGCCTCAATCCGTTGTCGGACGTTTCGTCGTGGAGGTTGAATTTTCCGACGGTGGTTCCAAAGATCCCTTCCTTGCCCACCCTGGCATTGAAGTCGCCAAGCACGATTTTGATATCATGACGGGGGCAGCGCTCGTACGTGCGCTCCAAGCGCTCATAGAAGAGGTCCTTGGATGCCTCATTCTTCTCTTCCGTCGGGGCATGTGCGCAGATGGGCGAGATGTTGAAGAATCTCGCTTTGATGCGGATTGTGGCTAGACGCTCGTCCACCGGGGTGAACGAGAGTACTCGGCGACGGAGTCTCTCTCCGACCACAAATCCAACTCCGAGTTTGCCTCCTTTACATGGCAGCTGTAGTAGACGTCGCAAGGCCCCAGACATTGCTTGCCTTGCCCCGTCCAACGCATTTCTTGGATGGCGGTGATGTCAGCTTTCGTTCTTACGAGGACATCAACCAGCCGGGCAGAAGCACTTTCCCCATTAAGTGTCCGGACATTCCAGGTGCATGCCCTCAAATCGTAGTCCTTTAAACGTTTGCCGTGGTCGTCATCATAAGAGGGGGTCTCATCCGAGGCTTTGCCTTGCTTCTTCACTGGAAGTGGTTTTTACGTGGCACACAACCCATTGCTACCAAATTACCAAATTTAAAAAAACATCAGACCTACAGTGTTTGTTTTCATACGGTTTGTTGTAAACACATTAAAATAATTTATTTGAAAGCACGCAATTCGGTCCATTGTAAATGTAAATATTATTATATCACTTCATGATTGTATTGTGCGATTCACTGCATCGTAGGTTTCAGTTTTGTGATCGCTGACATTTGGGCGTGCTTCATAAGTGCATATTGTTACCCCATGGTAATGTGCCTCATTGAACTCGCCGCGAAGGCCTATGATAAAAAAAAGTAAAAACGAATTTGTCACAAGATTTTAGTTTCGGCCTCTATGCTCACCAATATAGTAGATTCGTGTTACATCGTCACCGAAATTAGAAGGAAAATGTAAAGAAAGGTGATGAACGGATGAGAAAGTTACCACCCTGGAAAAGACAGAGAAAAATAGTTTGATATTATGTTAGTTGGATCATTTATTACTAAGTTTTTTTATACTTTTTTATATTGTACTTTGCAGGGTGAAAAGGAACCATGTTTGATGATATCGCACATTTAATAACACCGTGCGACAGAAACAAAAAATTTTAAAAACACAAAGAGGATAGCAACAGAGCTTCAAATACAGACAATCAATACAAAAGTAAACCAATACGTAGATAGTCAGGCGGCAATTAAGGCAGTTACCTCATATAGTATCTCATCCATAAACGTACTTCGCAGCCGGGAAACCATTGACAGGCTGGTCGCCGACAGAAGGCTGCATATCTATTGGGTACCCACAAGGGAATAGAGGAAAATAAAATAGCACATGAGCCTGCCAACTCTCGAACAGACAAACAACATTTGTAGACCACTTCAACACTTGTACAACGAAATATACGATAATACGATTAGGCAGTTTAGGGCTACTTGGAATGAGTTAACCAGGGGACGCGAAACGCCCTGTGCCCGGGTGGGCAGCTCTGCTGGTGGCAAGAGTATAGAGGCAAAGAAAATAGGTTGCCGATGTAATTGAGAAGGTTAATAGATTTCGTTAGAAAAACCTTTCGTGTATAATTTTTCCATACATACTATGGTGTTCCGAAACTTATTTGTAGGACATTTAATGTCCTAAAATTTTGTCATTTATATTTTTAACCGACTTCCCAAAAAGGAGGAGGTTAT